CGAGCGGTGTTGATCGCGAAGGTAAGGCGCTCTACATACTCGTCCCAATCTCGCTGATCCAGATCTTGGACATACATCTTAAGTGCCCTTGTGGTAGTCTGTACCAATCCGTTTGTCTGGGGCCTATACGCCATTGTTGCACGTTGACGCTGATCCAGGATCTTGTTAAACGCACGAAAGAAATCGGACATAAATCCGGGTTCACGATCGTGGCGGATCACCTCACTAGCACCAAATCGGCGAAACACACATTCCTCATAGGATTCTGCCACGGTCTGAGCCGTCCTGGATCCGCTCGCCTTGGCAATCACATATCCGGAGAAGAGATCTTCGAAGATCAGCAGCTCAGTATTACCTTTATAGGATCTGGGCAATGAGGGGATGTGGTCCATAGCGATGATCTGGAATGGATAAGTCGCTTGAAGATTACCCGGCGACTCGCTCTGGATTCGGGGTCGCCCTTTTCCAGTCTCACAATCCACACACTCACCGACATATCTCTGCACACTTCGGTACAACCCTCTCCAGCGAAAATGATCCCGGATCCGATCGTAAGTGCGACCGATCCCTTGATGCCCACCTTGGAGACTGGTATGATAATGATGCAGAACATCTTAATGCAGCGTTTCTAGTCGCATCAATTTGTGCCGATCCGCAGCTGATTTCTTCGTAGTAGGGCAATAGAACATGAGCTCGTGCTGATCCACTTCATAGTTCATAGCGATGGACCCGCAAGATCTGGCCTCTTCCTGTGTCAGATCGCGTATTTCGTCAACCAGATACTTCTTCAAATTGTGGATCCACGCCTCCTCATCTTGTGCCTGCCGGATCCGCTCGATCCTGAGCTCTCTGATTACTTCTTCGCACAATACCGGGGGATTGGATCCCGTTCTCACACCGGATCTGGCCTTCGATCTAGTAGTGACGGCCGAGATCTGCATCGCCGGGTCCTATCTTAGTCAGGCATAGAGTAACCACCCTACGACGCGATTGCCGTCATAGGCGTCCGAGCTTTAGGAGCCCTGAAGCGTTGGTTGGGGTTTATCGCCATAGCCGTACGCACCAATACATCCTTCCAGGCCTTTGATCTTCGGTTAACAATTATATCCGGGTGGAAGGTACGTCTCTTGAGTACCGTACTGCTGTCTAGAGCTAGAAGCAGCGAGCCCATTTTGCGTTCCAGGTTCGGGTTTACGACAGAACGGTTGCTGTACATGCCTCGCAGGTTGCGCCACAGTCGGAGCTTGCGGTAGACTCGTAGGAGCTTGAGTCGGAGCAGTTATTGTCGGAACAGTCCCTTGCGACTGTCCGGCTTGTTGGTATAGAGTCGACCGTTGCAGCTGAAACGCAGTATCCAATCCCTGCTGCAGGAACTCAACATACCGCTGTTTCTGACCAATGTCTTGCAATTTGAGCTGATTAAAGCTCATTTGTTATCCTTGGCTCACAGCGAGACCAGCGGATACTCCTCCTTGAGTACTAGCAGCAGCATACAGTTGCTGTTGTTGATAGGGACCACCATCACGTTGTGACGGGTCCAGAGATGTCTGCTGAGCCTGGATATGCACAGCACCAGTTGCAGAACCAGTACCTCCACTTGCCTACGTTGACCATCTGCTGCGCTCCAGAGTGGGGGCCTGCAGACCTGGCTCAACTTTAATCTGTGGGTCCGGTTTTGTAGGTCCCCCCAGCCCATCACCAACCGACGTAGTTTCCGTGGTCGCGACGGTCGCCGACGTACCTGTCGTAGCCGCAGAACTCACTTCTGCAGCACTAGCACCTGAACTGGATCCAACACCAGTCGAGGTCCGAGAAGCGTTCCCAAACGTTTGTTGGGGTGCACCACAGATGCCGACGGTCCCGTTGTGTGTGATTGCGTTTGTCTGCGTATAAACCATAGAGGAATCACCACCAGACGGAGGAGCCGGAGGAACAGGATACTCGCCACCTTCAGCAGGAAGCAGGCGTGGGACGGCTCGGCGCGACTGCCGACGCTGTCCCTGAGCTTGAATTTGCGACTCTGGGAGATCGGACTCCGACTCCGACATAGGACGACATCCTTAATCGCGCTGACTTCCGAGAGGTCAGGAACCAGCACGCCGTAGACATTAGACGTTGTTTAACTGAAAGCAATAGCCTGCTTCTCCACCAAATTGACGTGTACCCTCCAAAAAACGTTAGAGTCGAATATTGCTGGAGCTCGTTTGATGAACATCTTGTAGTTGTAGGCGTAGTGGCAGCTTAGTAAACTAAAATAACAATCTTCAAAATGTAAAGTCTGGTGAATTATTCCACTTAGGCGCTTTAGGGGAAATATACGACTGTGGAGAGTCCAGGCACGTCGGCCACCTTGCCGAACCGTACCTTTAAGCATGACTCACCTCCTAAACAACTCAACCAGCTTACCTCTCCATGTCATCCGTCCTCATCCGGTGCACGTCACCTTCAATGGCAACCGCGCAGACAATTGCATCGACGACGCTCCCACTGAGGACGTCGTCTCTCCTTTCGTAGTGCTTCAGGTCCATAGGGTGAGGCGTGTCATCCCTCACAAAAGATGGCACGAGGTCCTTGAGACCCTCGTAAGCGCCACTCAGACGAAAGTATTTGCTTCCACCATCCTCACGCTCTGTACGCCACATCGCTTGAACCCACTTGGTTTGATGTAGCCATCGTCATCGTTGGGCCATCCACAGCGGGACCCAGCACTCGTCCATCTGGTATCCCGACGTCCTGCTAGTATTAAAAACAGAGGCTAAAATCTCCATCGATGCTGTCGTGCCTTTGACTACCTTCTTCCTGGCGGCCTTCTTCTGTGAGAGCTTACCTTGGCCGTCTTCTTTCTGCTCTGCTCGACGAACGCGGCGTTGTCTTCGTTGCGCCTCCAGACACTGTCGCTTCTGGACAGGCGTTAGTTGTACGTGTGGAGATTTTCCTGTGGGACCGACTATCTTTCACTCGCGGGAGCGTTTTCAAGAATGAGCGGATAGATGGCCGAGGGCCACCCGCCGCGTGGTGAGTTCAAACCACTTTTTCTGCACTCATTAAAGACTGTCTTAGACACAAAACCTAAACCTGTGCAAGTGAACGTTATTAGACAAAAATATATCTTGGCTATCGGGATTTGATCCCTTACAAATGTCAGGTATAACCAGGCCTCCATAATCATGGGAGTTCCCATAAATTCCATAGTGTACTATATCATGGAAAATGCCGCCAGGGGTTTAACTCCACTAAGCACATGGGTATGTTACCCGAAGATGCTGAGAAGATGCTAAACTAGGACGATCGTCGGGGTGGAAACCGATTCGAGCCGAGCGTTCTAGAAATCACACTTATGCATTTGTGAACAAAACATCGGTAGATCAAGTTAGCAAACTACCAGATCTACACGGTTCCCTTTCATTAAGGGAATAATGGGATTGAGCCTACAACTTCATGTTAAAGGTGTAAAACGTTGTGTACTGTTTGACATAGAGGATCCCTTCCATACACGAATTATCTTTCTGCTAGTGGTTTCGGCTTCGATTCGTGTAGCTATACAACGCTATTGTCCAGTTATTTTGGCTTCACCATCTGTAGCCACTTCAACCAGTACCGAGGTCATACAACGTCTGTCCATCATTTTAGCAAGCGAAATGAAACATACGTTTAGTAGTGTGGGCACCAAAAAGAGGCAGAGCTAAAAGATAAAATTTTTGTATAGTTTCAGTAACAGTAAATCGCACATGAATATCCAAATACGATAGACTGTGTAAAGTCGATGAATCCAGTGCCAACGAAAACCAAGCAGAGCGAATTGTTTAATAATTGTAAGCCAGTGGCATCGACAACACGGCAATAGGTCGAAGCAAGTGTGTCCGTGCACTCAATATAGTCATCCCAACATAGTTTATTCTTTAACGAATTGCCCAATGCTAGCTACCATGCAAAAAGATGAATCAAGTGCAACAGGTCCAACTAACAGCGAGAATCGGTTAGGATTTTAATCAGAACCTGATAGTTGCCAATGTTATCGCGGGTGAACAAAGATAAAGTTCGACTTCGTGTCGAATCAACTGCATCTTCAGGATTGAATAACAAATCACCAATTATCAAATCGGTAATGTAGGCATTAATGCAAATTCATATTTGGGTTAAATCCGTCCCAACAACGTGAGATCAGAGTGTAGCTTGGTACGGAACTGACAATGTGAAAAGGTCTACTTGTTCTTTTTGAGAGCTCAAAAGCTTGTAGGCCTCCCACTTTGTTTTGTGTGTTGATTCCAAGTCTTGCGTGAACTGGTCGGTACGAAAAGTCTTGAAGTAATGATAATTAGTTGTTCGTTTGTCTTTGGACTTTTGGTCAGTACTACACGACTCCTCCCGACAAAATACAACGAAAAATCGGTACACACACGAGATGGCCTTACCTATTGTATCCGTAGCTGCAATCTTCAAACGGTACTTAACTTCATGTTTTGCGTCGAAATCTATTGAAGCCTTCTTTGACTCCGGTTCTGGTTGATGTTTTGCAATTGTTTGGTCCATCGGGCTTTTGAAAGAAGTAGAAAGGGAATATTAGTAGTCCAGAGCTCATGAGGCGGCAAAGAAATGGTTTTATCTACAGCTCCGTCTAAAATTGGTCTAAATCTTACGGGACAAATCGAATTTCAAAATGGGAAAACTTGGAAAAATCTGGAAAACCCCATATTATAATACGGAGGCCTGGGTATGATTATCTCTTATGTACCGACATTCGTTTGTCAAAGGGCATCCCCTTCACATCACAAGAAAACGTCTTTAGCCAATAGCTGTTCAGTATTTGAATTCCATGATAATTTTTTGCGAAAGGGAACCTGTGTAGAGACATGTCCACTCTGGCTCTTATGCAAAGTGCAGGACTGCCAACTACTGCCAAAAATGACTCTGAAGGCTCATGTGGAGTAGCACACTCGCAAAAGTTTGCGATTTCACCCTCACACAAACCCGTCGCTGC